CATCATCCAATCCACTGAGGGCTTGAATAGAACAACAAGATGAAGGAAGGGTGAATTTGCTCTGTGCTTAAGCTGAAATGTCCACCTTCTCCCGCCTTTGGCCATCAACACTCTTGGTTCTCAAGCCTTCAGACCTGGACTGAGTTACACCACCAGCATTCCTGCCTCTCCAGACTGTAGTCAGCAGACTGTGGGACTTCTCCGCCTCCACAATCATGTGAGCCAATTCCTAAAATAAATCTCCTCTTATATCTATCTATTTCTATCCCATTGGGTCTGTTTCTCTGGAGAACCCTGACTAATACAGTCAGTTTTGGATGCCTATTAGACTTCCAGATAGAGCTGATGAACAGGCTGAGGTCTGTACTAGCCTCAGGTTTAGACACAAGCCCCAGCCTGGAGATATATGTCATCAGCGTATAGTTGGTATTTTAAGCCTCTGGACAAGATGAAGTCTTACAGGCAGAGGCTGTAGAGGAGGAAGGGGAGTCCTGAGGCAGTCTTGTACAAAGCATGCACGAAGAGGAAAGGCAGCCCCAAAGGGGTCACGGATGTGACTGGTGATGTCAGGGGACAATGCAGGGAGAGGGGTGTCCAGGGTCAAGTGAAGACCATGGAGAGATCTTAAGAAGGAAAGGCTGGTCTGCCGTGTCAGATGCATTTGAGATGTCAAAGCAGAGGAGGACTGAGAATGGGTGGCTAGATTTCCCATGATGCTCACTGGTGATTCTGACGAGCGCTGTCTCAGAGAAGGGGGTGAGGACAACACTTGATTGGAACGACTTCATTAAGGGGAAGATGGGAGGTGGGGATTGGTGACAGTGAGTAGACAACACAGAGTAGTCTCTGTGAAGGGATATATTAGCTTAAGAAAGAGTTGTTTGTCTGATTGATGTCACCACATGTCTGCACTGACAGGAATGACACAGTGGGGAGGGATAAGAGTTTACAAACAACCTGAAATTCCCAGTTTGAACAGAGTTGTTTCCAAGACGTTGCTTCATAAACTTCCATCTGCAATTTATGTGTACCCAATATATTTCATAAAAGAAATACGCTGCTTTGGGTTTAATTGCCTATTTGTTATGGCCTAAAACAGCACAACTTCAAGCTCTTTCAAAGTTAATGATTCCGTACAGAAGCAGCTATTAATTTTCAAGTTCTCAATTTAATTAAGGTCATTCCAGCTATTTCAATAATATAATTTTAATTTGCTTTTAATATATTTCAACATTTTTCTTTCTTTGAAATTAGATGACCTTTTAAAGTATATCCTCCAATGTACGCCGTGGGCATGAGGGATCCGCAATGGCTGTGAAAATCCTTTACCTAAAACCAAAGGTATTCATCTTAGTGTGGCTTTTACAATAGTCATAAAAAACAACCACTCTCTCAGAGAAAGAGCACAAGAAAAGTAAAAACAAGTAAAACACAATATCTTCTCATAGGAAATTTATAATCTGAGAATAGGAGATAAAATATATGCATAAATCACGAAAATATGTGCTATGTTAAGTTGCATAAAAGAGGGACGAGCCACTCTAGGGACTTGGAGAAGGAGAGCTCCCTCCCCCAGTGTGATGAAGGAAGATGTGGTCGTGAATGTCCCAGGAGGAAACAGAGGAACTCCGAGAGGGTTTATTGACAGAGGGAGCTCTGTAAACAGAGTGTGGGTGTTGGGAAACCACAACCCAGACCCCTGGGGCCGTCACAGCAGGAGCTGTTACCACAGGAGCTCAAAGGGACAAGTGCTGCTGAGACGCAAACAGGGATGGAGGGGCTCCTGCAGAGGCGCAGGGAGCTGCCCTCAGAGGATGTAACTGGCCAGAAGTGACTCACGGTGGGAGCCAGGGACGAGATTCTCTCACGAAATGCTCTCTCCTCCTACCTCTGACCTCCACCAGGGTTCCCCACAGGCCTGGGGAGCTGTCCACGCAGCCGCCACAGCAGCCTGAGACTCAGGGAAGGGGGAATGGGGAGAGAAAATGGAAGATAACTGGAACAAAAGATTTTATCAAGGAGGTAGTGTGAGACCTGAGATTCGAGAAATGAGTCAGCAGAGAATAGGTGGCTCTTCCAGGTAGAAGTCATAGGAAGACCGAACACTGAAAAGTGCGAACAAGAATTCGGGATTGCCGTCAGCTTTGAAGACATGTAAGGGTGGAGATACAAATAAGAATAGGAAATATCGTTCAGAGAATTTGAGCAGGGCAATAAACACTGCGCTCAGGGTTCCAGTTTGATTTTGTAGAAAATGAAGAATTGCCAAAAGTTACTAATCTGCCAGTGAAGCAGAGACAAGGAGAGAAGCAAGATGTCAAAAGCAGAAAAAACGGAGAGAATCTGCCCAGGGAAACTGCCTAGATAGGGACCACTGCATTTCTGTCTAATGTTCTCCATAGCACAATCCGGTTAAAATCACTTTTTTCTGGACAAAAATTTAAGTGAATCTCCCTGAATAGCAGAGATTCAGCTACAATCAGAACATTTCCATTACCATTAGCATGATGAATAAGAAATATTTTGAGGAACTAAAATGATTGCACTCTTGGAAATTGCAAAATGCACTTTAGAACTTGACCTGACTCAGAATCTATATTTTCACTCTAAACAATGGTGCAGCCACTGTGGAAAACAGCTTGGCAGTTACTCCAAATGTTAGACATAGAACTACCATATGACCTAGCAATTGGACTCCCAGGTACATATCCAAAAGAATTGAAAGCAGGGACTCTAACAGATATTTGTGCACTCCTGTTCACGGCAGCATTATTCACAATAGCCAAAAAGGGGAAACAGTCCAAGGGCCCATCAACAGATGAAGAGATAAACAAAATGGGGTATATACATACAGTAGAATATTATTCAGCCATAAAGGAAATGAAATTTTGATATCTGCTACAACATGGGTAGATCTTGACAATGCTATGCTTAGTAAAATTAGCTAGACACAGAAGGACAAATAGTATATGATTCTACTTATATGAGGTACCTAGAACAGGCAAATTTATAAAGACAGAGAGTAGAATTGAGGTTATGAGAAGCTGGGTGGGGAGATTTTAATTGTTTGATGGGTGCAGAGTGTCTATTCGAGACAATGAAAAGTTTTGGGTATAGATAGTGATGATGGATACACAACATTACAAATGTATCTCATGCCATTCAATTGCACGGTGACAAACGGTTAAAATAATAAACATTATGTTATTCATATTTTACCACAATTAAAGAAAATAAACTGCTGACGCACACAACAAATATTTGCATCAATACTTATTTTTGCAACAAATACTTGCAAGCAATATTTACATAATATTACCTCAATGTTTCTTCTTGATGTAATTTGCATCAAGAAGATTCCCTGTGTTCAAGGGTTTGGCCTCACCTTTATAGGATTTCTTAAATTGCCATCCCCTGCTAATGAAATGTACAGCAGGTCCAGGCATTCATCGCTCACACTGTAAATTCCGGAGCTCCACTAACAATGCTACCGTGCAGCAGGCAGACTGCCTTTACTTGCCTGTTAACAAAACAAAATCACACACACACACACACACACACACACACAAAGACACAGAGCAAGGGAGGGGGACTCCTTTCTTTGCCTATTCTAAGAAGCTATTCTAAGAGACCAATTCACATAGAAGAAAAGACTCAGTTGTACAAACTGTGGTAATTTTACAAACTATACACTGTCTGGGCTTCCGTTAAGGAAATACTGTGATTTTAACGTTATACAAGAAAACCAAAGAGGGATTATTCTAATGCAAATAGGTCATTCCAAGCCATTCACCAATGGAAGGCTTCTTGAATAGTGCAAAAGTTCAGTTGTTAATACGGTTTGTTTAGTTGCTTTTAGTTGTTTTTTTGGTCTGTTTTACTTTAATCAGAGTAAAAAATCAGAAAGAAAAGGGGGGAAAAACTAGTGGTGTAGTTCAGAACTTTTGAAAGTGTCTATTTTACATTACAAGACACTGGAAGGCACATTTCCAAGAGGAGGAGTAGAGCTGAGAGGAAGAATTGAGGACTCAGGAAACGGCTGTTCCTGAGTCAAGACAATGGGCAATCGCTCCCAATAAGGAGAGACCCAACTTAATAGAAATGTCATTACTTAGCCTGCATATTTAAAATCTTTTCTTAGTCTTCCAGCAAGATTCATTTTTCATCTACAGAAAGAATGAATTTGGAACTTGCACTTTAAGATAAAAAATAAAAGATTGACAGCAACTTTGTGTCCAAAAAAACCCATTTCTTCTATCAATCCTTTTTCTTTAAAAAAATTATTTCAAAAGCATTTATTTTATTTTCTATTAAGATAAATGAAAAGCAAAAAAAACCCTTTGTTTTACATCTGCCTGAACAATGACAAAGGTTGCTTACATCAAACAAGCCATAGACCCTTCACTGAGAAATGGACAACAATTTCATAAAGGGATAAACTAACAAACTTCTAAATTTTCTTTTTAAAGAAGGGTGAATACTTCCTGTTTCACTTTTATTCATCATCAAACAAATCTCGAAATATTAATACTGATCCTTTAGACCAATATTTGTAACAATAAAATTTTGTCTCATCGTAAAGGAAAATAAAAGGGAAATACTGAGTTTAAACGTTTTTTAAGTGTTATCTTTTTATCCAAACCCATACTTTATCCTATAATAAAGTTTTGCAACTTTGCCTATGGTTTTAAAATAGTCATTGACAAGAAAGATTCTTAGGTTCCGGTGAATTTCCTTTCATAGCAATGTTGTCCTCCATTTACTCAGCCATGAGCAAGCAGAAGCCTGCAGTCAGAAAAAACAATGAGCACTTTGGAAACTGAAGCTGCACTTCAGAAACTCTAGCCCACATCAGCATGCAGGGACCTCACAATGGAAAGAAGCACTGAGAACGCTGGGTGCAGTCTGAATTCCGCCTTCTCTCGGGGCCGGCTGTGAGTCTGCTCCAGTTCTCCCGGAACCTCAGACCAGACCAACCAGCAATATTAGGTGATTCTTACTCTCCCCTCCTCCCGTGTGCCAGTACCCAAGCCCTGTGTTTGAGATAAGTCTGAAGACAGGTCATCCTGTGTGATGTCACAATGTGTTAATCTAACTAGTAATTTTTTTAGTGCCAAACTTCGGAATTCTACCCTGCGTTCTCTTCCTCTTTCTCCTTTTTGGTTCTTAACTGATGAAATAACTCTATTGAGTGACTTATCATCAGTCCGGAATAAACTATCTTTGCCATCAAATAGGCCACAAAGGCAGGAAAGATGACTCTATGAGGCGTCCTGCGGGGACTGAAATGCCATCTCTTTCAGGTAGCAATACTTTGGCCTTTTGAATACAACGGAATCTAAGAATTTGCAGCAAAAAATAGATTTTAAAGAAAAAAAGATTTGTTTTTTACATGAGCACTTTGTTTTTTATGTTTCTTCTAATTTCTCAAACAAAATTAAATTTCAAGGACAATTATTAAAATGTATGAGAAAGATCATCTTTTCACATAACAGGTAATTCTCTAGTTTACACTCCTCTGAAGGTTTTCCCCTCGGCAATGGCCCAGGTAATGATGCAACCACCACCTTCCAAACAGAGATGATGGTTATACTGGAAACCATCACCAATCATAATCTAAGGTTAGATTACTCACGTGTTCTGCAATGATTGCGATGCGACTGGAATCTAAGGCACAGTATCCCCCTTGTCTTTGGTTTCACTTTCCGCAGTTTCAGTTACCTGAGGTCCACTGCCATTCGAAAATGTTAAATGGAAAATTCCTTAAGTAAACTTTGTAAATTTTAAACTGTGCACAGTTCTGAATAGTGTGATGAAACCTCACGCAGTCCGGCTCCATCTCACCCAGGAGATGACTCATCCCTTTGTCCACTGGATCCATGCTGGACAGGCTCCCCACCTGTTTGTCAGCTAGTACCCCGTCTAGGTTATCAGATCAACTGTCTCAGTACCACAGTGCTTGTGTTCAAGGCATCCTTATTTCACTTAGTAATGGCCCAAATCACAAGAGTAGTGATATTGGCAATTTGGATACGCCAAAGAAAAGCCATAAAATGCTTCCTTTACATGAAAAGGTGAAAGTTCTCAACTTAATAAGGAAAGAAAGAAATTCATATGCTAAGGTTGCTAAGATCTACAGTAATTTTTATTACAGTATATTGTTATAACTGTTCTATTTTAATTGTTAATCTATTGTTAATCTCTTACTGTGTCTAATTTATGAATTAAACTTTAGCATAGATATGTATGTAAGGGAAAAAACAGTGTATAAATATGGTTTTGTACTATCCCCGGTCTCAGGCATGCACTGGGGGTCTTGGAATATGTATCCTCCTGGGATAAGGGAGACTACAGTATTTTCATTATTTTCCTTATCAACTAACTACTTTGTAAGTATTGATTTTACCTTTCTGAACTTCATGTTTCTGTTTTCACATCTACGTATTATTCATATTAGAAGTCCACGACTTTTTAAAATTGGCAACATGAGAAGAGTTTTTAGTTCAATCAAGTTTGTTGTTCTCCTTGTCTCCCAAATACATACACTAATCACACTCCTTGTTTAATTTTTAAAGCTTTCCATCAACTTCAGTGATAATTACAGAATTAAATTTTGAAGCTATAGACGTTTTTTATAATATAGATTTGCCTCCCATATTTTAGCACAAGACAGATGCAGCCCCAAATTTGCATTTACGTTTCCGTAATATAATTGGAAAATATTACTTCAACCTACCTTCTAGTTGTTCTCTCAAAATTTTCTAAAGTTATTTTATAGATGAAATAATCTACAATACTTAAACATTTGCTATTTAGGAAATAAAATGTAATAGGGTCATATTCATACTTACCTAAAGCTAGAATATTTTGAATGTGCTTTAAAAAGTAGCATCAAATGCTCATTTCAATTTTTCCTATTTATGGATAATACCAATGAATAATACTCTAAAAAAATCATAAAACAAGTTATTTCCATTTTTCTGTTCTTGAATTATTTTATATAGCTACTTTTAACAGAAATATCAAAGGCAAAACCAATACAAAGACATAATAACAAAAATGCCTTTCACTTTCTAATACCATGAAAAATCACTTCTTTTACATGTCCCTCCAGTTAAGTTGAAATAATGTCCTCTATTTACCTTCAGCTTAAATTGACTACCCTCTAAAGGGTATTTACTGATTCTGAAACATAAATTGATCTAAATACTTGTGGGAAAAAAACCCACATCCGTAACCACAGTGTCAACAAACGAATTGTCTTCAAAATAATTCAAAAGGAAAAATCTTCAAAAGAAAACTTAACTGCATTGATTTTTTTCCCTTCATATTTAGCACTACCATAATCTCTCACCTTGTCCCTTTTCTCCCCCTGAAAAAAAGTGACTGTTAAGATTTTAAAGCACACTCTTCAGCGTGAGTCTGTATTCCAAGCTTACTTCAAGGAGTGATTCTGTAACTCTGCACCAGGGCACCGCATGCCCCGTGGATTCAGTGTTATCTCAGCGGGAATATTCTGTAATTGAGACAGTTGCATTCTGAGCTTTTGCATAAGACCTTAAATTAGAGTTGGAGAAATGTTCACTCTAAAGTGATATTTGAGTTGGACTTTCCAAAATTACTATTCTTTTAAAAATAACTTTACAAAATAAGAAATGCCTTGAAGAAACAGTTTAACTATATAGCCCAAAGAAGAACCACCCAAAATTTCTCAAAAATCTTCCCTCTTTAATGTCAGTGTGTATTTATAACACTCTTTTACCAAAAATACATCAAGAACTGGAAAATCTTATTAGCGAGAGGGCCATTCACCTTTAGATGATGTTTGAAACTCTAACACCCACCACGTTGACAGGAGGGTTATTTACAATGCAGAGGGTAAGGCAGACAAATAGAATATGACAGGACAAGGAGAAATCAGCAGCCTGTGTTCATCTCCATTTATTAAAATGTTTTTGGGGCTGTGAAATCATATCTTTTAAATCCATTTAATGTTGTCTGAGATCATATGGCCTGACATCCAAAGAAAAACATAAAAGGCGCATAGAGCTCACATTTTCAGAGAACCTGAGGGGCAAGTTTTTAATCACTGTTTTAGTCCAATAAATTTGGTATAAATAAAAAATAGAAAATTAATAATAAAAAATACACATATAATTGGCCATGGTCCCCCCACACACACATTCAAGATTTCTACCATTGATGCTGATGCAGACAGGGGGCCAGTGTTTGAGGACCATTTGCTTTGTCTTGGTCTATACCATTGCTATTTGCATTTTGAAAACTTGAGAGGAGGCCTTACTTAATGCTCACACTAACCACAAATCACAGCTGTCAGTACAATCCTCCATCGATTTTTTCCTCTCTCGCACACAGTGCTCAGTTTCTCCTTCAGCTACAGCTCCTGCCCTATGATTACATTCAAGCTCAAGTCTCCCCATTTACTAAAGGCAAGAACGACAAAAGGCAAATACGGTTTTTCAATTCCCTGAAGGTTCCAAAGGAACCTGATACAATCAAATGCTCTGGAATAGGGGAACTGAGCGCTAAGGAGCACGTGTGGGAAGGCAGCCCCTCTCGCCTTTTGTGCCTTTTGAACCATGTGAATGTATCGCCTATTCAAAACTAAATAAATATTTTTATGTGCAGATTCCTGGACCCCGCCCTGGACCTATTGAAACAGAATCTCTAAAGTTGGGCCCCGGAATCTTCATTTTAACAAGCTCACCAGGTGAATCTGATGCATAAGTAAATAAGCAAGAAAATATTGTGAACATAAACACAGATGGCGCAGCACTGAGAGGTCCTATGTGTCAGGTAGTATGAAGAATGCTGAAAAACCACCACTGCCAAGAAGAGTCTCCCTCACCAGCCCGCTCTGATGTCTGAAATTCCTTTGTTAGACATTCTGTCTCCAATGTGTCCTTGTAAAATTGTGATGCTAGGGTGGGGCAGAGAGAGAATGCCTGCCTTCACCAAACTCATCCTTCAGTCTCTTTTCCCATGTTATCTAATCAGTACAAAATCTTCTCTTAAGAAACAGGCTATACAAACTCTGATTTCATCATCCTTACATGCCCATTGCAATCATTTGTGATGCTTGATGCTTGGCTGAAATGATTTTCTTGAAGGTCACCAACGATTCCTCAGTAGCCCGGGAATTATGTAATATTACGCTATCCTGATTCTCCTTTCTTTAGTGTATGATTCTTTGTCTCCAGAACTCTTCTGCCTCTTATCCTACAAGGCATTCTTGGGTCCTCCTCTCTCTACCCCACTTTCTAGTCATCATTTTCATGCAACCGTCTCATATATAAGCTTTTCTCACCCTGTGCTCTTTCTCCTGAGGTACAGACCGCTTCTCCCCTGACCCCAGCATCTCACCTGTAAGTCTTATTGAAAACTTCACATCCACAGCTGTATGCCTCAGCTGTATGCCAGGCGCTTGTCTAAATATTTTACAAACGTGAACTCCTTTACTACTAAGAACTACCCTATTTTAGGGATGAAGGAACTGAGATACCTAAGAGTTAAATTATTTTATTCAGGTCACATTCCTGTCATACGGTGGATCAGATTCAAACCCAGGCAGGCTATGTCTAGAGCCGTATTCTCAATGGTCATGCCATGTCGCCTCTCAGTGTTAGTTTAATATTTATCAGCAAAGCTTCAATCCAATCACTTTCTGATCAAAAACTTCTGGTGTCTCCTCACCAAATACGGAAATGTTTAAAAATCTGTAATTGGGAACTTAAGTCTGGAATTTAATCTTATCTCTACTTAGTTTTATAGCCATATCTCCCAATATTCTCTTACACACACTAAATATTACAAATAATAAATAATATAGATTATTTGCTGGTTTCAAGATTATCATTTAGACTTGTTCTCCTCTGGTTTGAGCTTGTCTCTATTCAAAATTTTAGCAGAACTCTGTCTATGGCCTAAAATTTTGATAAGTGTAGGAAAAATCCAAATTTAAACCACAGGTAACAGAGACTACATTTTTCCCCTCACCTGAAACAACTAATAAACCAGAAACGTACATATAAAATGATGATTTTGCAAGACATTGGACATCAGACAACAAAGGACAATGACTCCAGAGGACTCAAATGGGGTGAGTCCTGTGATCACCTCAGCTTACTTCCTGGAGAAAGTTTCCAAGCTGAGTCACTGGAAGGGAAAACTCAGGCTGAGTCCGGCAATCTGTATGAGTCCAGGCGACAGAGCTAGAAAAGTCTGGAGGTGCCAAGGGTGCTACAGTTTGCAGGGCAGAGCATCACTGAGTTATCGGTCAACTTCAAGAGTCCTAATTTGGGACTCTCTTCTTGTGAGTCCCCAAGAAGAGAACGAGAAGAGTGAAAAAATGCCCCAAGCAAAAGAAACATGAAGGAAACTACACAGAGACATGTCAAAATCAAATTGCCCAAAACTAGTGAAAAAGAGAAATTCTTAAAAGCAGCCAGAGAAAAGAGATACATTATGTACAGAGGAATGGAGACGAAAATGATAGTAGATTTCTTGTTGGAAACAATGTCAGTCAGAAGACAGTGGAGCAACATCTCTAAGGCAATGAAAGACAAAACCTACTTAAATCTTTTAAAAGCAAATAAACTTCTTAAAGCAAAAATAATACCAGTATATTGAGGGGGTTATAATGAATGTAAAAATAAAATGTGCTGTAATATAGCATAAAAATCAGGATGCAATAAATGAAAATATATGGTATAAGGTTCTCATACTATACCTGAAGACTGCGATAAGTCGAAGTTATACTATAAACCACAAATCAGCCACACACAAAAAATAAGGAGATAAATAGAATCACCAAAAGCACAGAACTGATCCAAAAGAAGGCAGGGAATGAGAGAAAGGAAAACAAAGGGCAGACGAGACAAATAGGAAATAAAAGCAACATGGTAGACTTAAACCCAAGTGTAATAACAACACTAAATATAAATGCTCTAAACACACCAATTAAATACAGTAATTGTCAAATTAGATTAAAAAGCAAGATCCAACTATATGCGGCCTTCAACAAACCCACTTCAAATACAAAACACAAGTAGGTAAAAAGTAAATGGGTGGAAAAGAATGTACCATATTAACACTATCAAAACAAAGCTGGAATGGCTATGTTAACGTTGGACAAAGCAAAGGAAATTATTAGAGATTTAAAAAAATTCACTTCATATTTGATGAAAACCATAAACTCATATATCCAAGAAGTTAAACAAACTCCAAACAAAAAAGAAATATGGAGAAAGCTACACGAAGGTGCATCAAAATCAAATTGCCCAAAACCAGTGATAAAAACCAATTCTGAATTCCACATCAAAATCAACAAATGCACACACCCATCTGAAAACACACTTTTAGACAGAAATGTGAAGGTACAGCAGCTTTCAAGTGGCACAAATAGGTACCAGTGGCTCAGTGCTGGAACAAATGAATCCAGTGAGGAGACGTTGAAGAATTCTGTGCAAGGAAGTGGCAAAACAAATTTTAAAGGAAAAATACCTTCTGGCAGCAGGTCCAGTCAGATTTGTGGGATACAGTGAGGCGATAGAACAATAGACAGGAGGGAGCAGTAGCTCGGGATGGGGGAGAAGTTCAAGGGCGAGGAAGGGTGTGATTGATAGAAAGATCAGGGGAAAACCAGTTATAATAATCCAGAAATGATGAGCCTTATAACCACTCAATGAGTAGTTGAGTAGTTACAGATCATAACTAGATTATATATTAGGAGTAGCCTAACTTCTAAATGCCATAGTTAGCATCTACAGGGCAAGAAATGTCTTTTTATCTATCTGCCTCCAGCACCAAGCACAAAGCTTGCTATAAATATTTTTAGAACAAATAAATGAATGAATCTAATCAAGGCTTGAATTTTCATTTAATTTTTTAAGTCAGAGATCCTGATATTTAATTCCAGAGATTTCTCATATGTCAATTTCTGAAGGAAAATAATATACTCAATCAAAGGTTACTCATACCTTTTCTTAAACATTGCTCAAATTGCATATATAATCATAAATGCATTGCATACATATTACAATAAAATCCTAAATTATATTAGTATGACTCAAGACTAAAACAATTGGGCTTTGTTCATGTCTTTTGAAAACAGTATCATAATTATATTGTTTTCTTGGGAAATAGTCACACTCCCCAGCACACAGGAAAACACACACACCCTTATTTAGAGCAAAGAGTGGAGAAAGAGAACAAGAAAGAAAACTTTTTTAGTACTTATAATTTCAGACTAAAAATTTACCACTGGCAGCATTCCCATTTTTCATTCAATTTCCTTTCATCTCTATTAATGTTGAATATCGCTTTAGAAAATGAAACTTCAAAAGAAATTAAAATGTGTAAACTACAATTTGGACATGTTCACGTTGTGCTACAACTTTTGCATTTTGAATTACTCCCCAATACAAAAATTTTCCCCTTTTTGATCTCAAATATTTTTCAATCATTTTACTACTTTTCCACTCAATCATCTAAAAATCACACTTTTAAGCGGGTACAAATACATCCTTACATGTAGTGGAGATTTGCCCATGATTAGAGATTGTATGGAAAAGCCAAGCTTTGCAATGAAAAACCTGGTTCTGCGAGTTAATAACCAGGTGGCCTCCGTTACCCTCTTAAAAAGACTCAGTTTCCGTATCTGTAAAATGGGGATGTATTAGACACGCGTACAAGACTTCAAATAGTCCCTGCCCCACCTCTTCCTTTAGCCACCGCTGAAGAGAATAGCTAAGCCCAGGTCCCACCAGCTCTAAGAAGGTAGGAGGGGATAGCATCTTGTTTCTAGCCTGTGCCAGGGTGTCATTAACACCTCTGCATGTGGTACCCCCGGGAACACACACAAGTAGGTACAAACAAGCAGTCACCATCCGTTCACCAGCCTTGACTGATGGGAGGATGGAAGCCCATGGATAAACACTCTCCTCCTCGCACCCCAGGTAGACAGTTCTTGGAGGCATTTCTTAAGCTTTATTGTCACTGGGGCATTCCCTAAGCAGCTCGAAGGAAGTTTAAAGGTGCTTAACCCTCCCTCAAGGTGGTTTTTCAGAGCTCTGTTGGGAAGAAATAGCAGCGTCCACCAACTTGAACCAGATGGAGCCCCTCTGCAGGGGCAGCACCTGTGCAGATGACCTGAAGATGACCAGAAAATGCCCTTTTCCTCATCTTAATACTAAGATCTCCACCCCAGGAGGAGCCTAGGCTTTATCAGCATTACACACAATGTACGTGAGAGCATGCTTTCAGACTGCACCTGCGCGTGCTAATACCTGCCTCTGCACGTGATGGCAAAACGTCCCTCGTAAACATTCATTCCCCACCCGAAATCAAAGGACCTGCTTGCCTTTGTTTGGAGAGCTGTGGTTTTGGAAATGATTCCGCATGGTCTCCTATTTGCTGCAAATATACTTTACTTATACCATACTGTGACAACTTCTGGTAGACAGTCTGATTTTAACTCTCCAGGAAGCGAACTCACTTTGGTGCGGTAACATTATCAAAAGGCCCCGTGAAACCATGTCCATCCTGATTGTGGACAAATCAAAACTGCACCCTTGCCTTGGCCTTCCCTCCCTCGCTGTTTCTCTGCCGGTCCTCTCCTCCTGCTCTCTTGGCCACAGGCTTTGCTTTCAAAGGAACAAGGCCAATGACTTAGATAATGCGTCTAACCTCACAAGGCAGGTAAGGGATAAA